AAAAGAAGCATTATTTTTAACTATGGTTAAAGAATTACATAAATGCTCATACATCTTTTCTTGCATATTAATTACTGTATCCAAACGATCTTGAATATTTTTCACCTCATGCTTCAATGTTATAATATTTCTGTTAACAATCTTGTAAGAAGCTGAACAATTTAAAAATATTATTATTATTTTACAATCTTATATTATTATTATCCACAATTATAGTATTATAGCTATAGTTGCATGGTATGTATTACATATTAAACTATAGTGATATTTACCTTTAGTATCACTTTCACTGTGCATTACTGGTTTAATAATTGGTGTAGAAGGATAAGACACATCATTAGAACTTAGTTTTATTTTTTTAGTAGATGATGGAGTAACGTGAAATGAAACTTGGCTTTCATCAAATTCATGCAAGTTTATATCTTTATTACTTGATGTATTCAAACAATTTTCAGTTGTATGATTTACTCCAGTATCAAGATCTAGTTCTTCATCTAAATATTAACGTATAAAAAATTATAATTTAATTAATATAGGTACTTTTACAAGCATGTATAATGTAAAGCCACATTTACCTAAAAATAAAGCATCAAAGTCAGGGAATGTTGGTCCATTATCTTCTTGTTTAGTAACATATGATGAAGATTTTTCAGATTTATTTGGAGGAAACAAATTAGTTTTAAATTTTGATTTTTCTTTATAACTTTCATTTTCAGTATTGGATGATAGATCTGATGTTTGTTGTGCTTTAGAAGCTTTATTTCGAGCTATATTAATATCATCTAAAATTATATTTAAAAAAATTAATTTATAATAGGTATACCTACTTAAATATTATTCCTTATTTTTATATAACTAATATAATTACCAAAAGGACTTTTGCTTAAAATTCTTGCATCATAATAGCGAAATTCATCTGGCCGTTCAACTGGATCAATACATTTTTGTATGAAATGATTTATGTTAGCTTTCTTTTTTGGCCAGGCACACGATCCTTTATTGTACCAAATATTTGGTACACATTCGACTGACATGTCTACATTAAAATAAACAACAATCCACATAGTTCTGAAAAAAAAAATGTAAATTTAGCTTTATTTCCATAAATTATTAATACTATGAATATCTAAATCAATTTTAGTTACCAATTATTTATATTCTTTATTTATAAGTATATTCATTCAAACTTATATTTACAATTGGTATTATTTTATTATTATATTGTATGCTTATGTTAAGATTAGGTATATTACAAATATTTACAATTTAATTTTAATTATATAAATTAATCATGATGAAGAATCGGTAAAGCTATCATTGTATTTTTGAAATCAAACATAATCATTTTTCTTTTGATATCAGACATTTTCCATTGTTTTTCAATTTCAGACAAATTTTGAACTACATAAATATCTAATTTAGATGATTTTAAAGGCATAGTAAAAAGTTCTTTTTTTTCAATAAATGTTTTACCAACAACAATAGAACATTTTTCAGGAATTGAATTTTTTAAATCTGTTATTTGAATAATTTCATCTTTTAAAGTAAGAGCATAACAATCTGGTTTTTTGGTTTTAAATTGTAATTTATTAATGTTGTTAATTTCTATAATTTCATTGTTACAATTTTCAGTGTATCGTCTAACTACCTGTTGTAATGGTTTGTCATGTTTGCGGATCATTTTTTTTAGTATCTTCATAAAGTTTTCAAAGGGAAACGTACTACACGCATTAAGGGAGCCATGTCTTTCATAATCGTCACATAAATGTAACAGCCCATGTACATTTTGTGATACGTATTTAACACCATATATATATTGAAAAGATTCTACAAAATATTTTAGAAGTTCACGAGTAAAATTTAAATAATAATAATTATTTTCACACAGTAGAATTCTCATTGATACACAAAGTACTAGAAAATTATTATAACTTTCATTGGGTAAAATATCTTTAAGTACAATGATTCCAGTGTAAAGAATAAACTGGCGAAATTCTGTGGCTTTCCACCTTAAAACTTCTTTTACAGGCCTAGGTTTTCGAGCAAAATCACACGTTATGCTACTTTTAATTTTTAAAAGCCCGTCGGTAATTTTCTGTATCTGCCAACTTGATAAACGACCATTTGATTTGTTTTTACCTAACCCTAACCAAAGAACAAGTAATTTTTTAGTAATTCCAAGGCATACTAAATGCATATAATCCATTGAAAATAGTTTTACAATATCTATATCTGGTATTAGTGCAAGACATGATATTGTAGGATGTGTATGGTGTTCCTCATCCTTCATACAAATATAATCTTCGTGATATCTTTCAGTATTGCCATTACTATTATATGGAAAACAAACACTTGCAAAATACTCTCCTTCATGAGTACATCTAGGGCATGAAAAATATCCAGAATGACTCTTAATTCTCATAATAAAAGATTTGGCGGGTGAATCACAACATCTGACATTAATAGAAATTTTTTTTTTCACATTATTTATCATAACCCCATTTTGAGTTAAATCTAAAATTTCTTCAATTAAATCTTTAAGGTATATATTACTATCTTTAGGCTTTTCATATCCATGATAAATGCCAACAATAAATACATGTTTATTATAAGGCTGGATAAAAGCTAAAATTGGCCAAAAACAACTACCACTACTTTTTGATATTGGGAGGCCATCAATGCCTAGTGAAATTTGTATAGGATTTTCAGAAAAATTAATAACTGATGTAAATCGCTTAATACCAAACTCTAAGCCAAAATGGTAGTAAATACCCGGTTCTACTTGACGTATATTAATTACTTTAGATGATCCTAAGCCCAACAATGTTTTACAACGTTTGGGTAGAAAATCTAAATCAAAATCATTCCTCAAAACTTCAAGGAGCCCATCAACTGCATTCTGAGGAACATTATAATTTACCGCCCAATGGCAAAGTTTATTTTTTTTAATATTTTCTTGACTATAATTTTCAATAATTGGTACAATTTCTTCATTATCACTAGATATAATAACATCAAACTCTGAAATACTATTATTAAATTCATTTCCCCTTAGTATGTTATCACTTGCAGACTTATCAGAGTTATAACCTTGGTTATGACAATTGTCAAAATTAATATTTTGATTTTCAATTAATTTGTCAGATTCTTTCAATGGTGTAAGAATTAAATTAGTGTCATCTGTATCATAATCAGTAGATTCTAAACCTTGCAGTTCTATTTGTATTTTTCTGCGTTTATTACTACAGCTAGCCATAATACAAATTTAAATTATTACCTATTAAAACCTGTAACCAAAAAAAAAATCTACTTTGAATTTATTAAAACATTCTATTTATTATTCTAGCAACTACTGAAACATGTGAATAAATAAAATATCAGTTATAAGTACTACAGGTTTAATATTGAATGAACGAATACAATTAAGAAAATAACAAACTAACAACAAGACTAACTAACTAACAATATATTATAATGTCTACTTTATCACTATATATATTATATAATATACTAAAATATAATATAATATTATATTATATAAAGCTTAACACTAAACGACTAAACATACCTAACATAGCATATTTTATAATATTATTATATAGGTACTTTTTTATCAATACAATTATAAGTAACTAAATTAGGTAATGTACAATTTTTTTTCATCCACCAAAAATCTTAATTATTACTCTTTGACTTTTGTTAAAACATAATATATTTAGAAAAATAATCATAAAAAACCATAAAATAGTCAAATAAACTTTTTATACCTAATATATTCATAAATGCTACCATATTTTATTTAAATAAGAAA